CTCTCTTGGTCTACGTATGACAATCACCACTTTTTTGACCTGACAATTAAAATCTCAACTACATCTGGCGTTTGATACTTTGATATTTCTCAGATTCAAGATCAAAAGTGCTAGGGGTATAAAAATTACCAAAACTCAAACTGGATGTTTTTGAATGGAGTACACTCTTGTATCTTATCTTTCACGTGACTCCATGACATGTATGCGTCCTATTTCCAGCAATGATAGGGCACGAACGTTTCGCCAACAGAAAATGAGGTTGACTTTGAACATGCCGAACAAAACTAAACATTGCACCTTTAACCAAAGCAGGCTGTTAAAACCTTAAAGAACCAATGATATTCAGTTTAAACACAGAAGTCTTCAAGTTCAAGCTTTTACTGTGATATTCCCTTCTAAGAAAGCTTTACCTATAGGCAGCCTATGTTGTTAAAAATTCCAAAGCTGTACTGCAACACGGCTTAACACAGGGACAAAGAGTTTATCTTGCCTGTAGAGGAACCAACACATCCAATGACAGTCGCCATTTGGCAGCAGAAAAGGGGGAACTGCTATGTACAACTGATGAATGCAAACTACTGGAGAGCGGAGACTCCCCTTTCGAGCTTTTACGAGCAGAGGAAGCTGGTCAGCTTGGCAGAGGGCTGCCTATCCATCTCAGCACCTGCACAGAGGGCAGGACCTGCATCCCTACAGTGGACGAGCAACGAGTCATACCGATGAGGGACCAGTCCGCATAAGTCGGGTCTGACCAGTCCTAGTAGTTCCTGCTAGCTGTAGGAATATAAGATATGAGTAGTTTTAATGGGGAACCTGTCCAGGGTCAATCATCTCTCTCAATCAATGTGTTCTTGTCCCTGTTTGTCTGTATGATATTATATATATGCAGTCTTATGTGCTTTGATGCGTATTAATGCATTTCTTTTTACTGTTCCTGAGCTAGAAATCAGTTTCTCTTTTGTAAAATTAAAGGTAATCAACTCAACTCCTTAAAAGGGGCCCTATTTTGCTTTTTGGGGTTTTCCCTTCCTTGTAGTGTATTATATAAGTTTGTGTGCATGTAAATGGTCTGCAAAGGCTAAAATCCCTCCCTTACGTTCCCTCAAGAGGACACCCCCCCTCCCCCCGAAACGCCTCCATTGGACTCCTTTGTTTACTTCCGTACACATAGTAACATCACTATGTAACAGTCGCGCTTCTATTGGCTAGCGCTCCAACACATTGTATGTGATAGGTAAGGGGTGGGACATCTCTAAGCGTTTGACCAATCATAACAAATCCAGCTGGCTAACCAATCAGAGCAGACGAAAAGAGGTGCTGCAGAACATTAAAGCATGTAAACATGTGACAGCAGAGGCCCCTTTAACTAAGCAATAACAAAACAGCAAGAGACCCTAATGATCCTGCTGCAAGGTTGCTGTTCTAGTTAAACATTTCCTTGCCCATATATAGCAGAAGGCTGCTGTGAGGCAGAGGCTTTGATTGTCAAAGGGGTGTCAGCACATGCCCCGCGGCAGTCACAAAGGTACGCTATCTACAGTACACAACTGACTAGTTTGCACTGCGGCCTCTCTGCAGTTGACGTCAAGCAATGGAGGCCGCTGTGTGGGTGGATGTTGGTGTGTGTGTACTGGTGTGTGTGTGTACCCGGGACATGCAGGCACCGGCAGGCAGCACCACAAAGAGAAAGCTGAAGTAAACCTCCACTGCTTTATCAGTTCAGTCCAAGGGTTCAGCAGCTGGTTGAGAAACTGAAGTATTGGTGTTGTGTTCTCTCACATAACACAATACGGGCCTGATAGAAGTACTTTCAAATCTACTGATATTCACAATGCTCAAGGCTGTACACCTCCTTTTTTTTTAAAATATCTACTAAAACTGATTTCCCAACACTTTACGATGCTCTCAATCCACTTGAACTTAAATACTTGCCATGACTTGCTTAATGGGCTTCATTTTTCATTGACCTTTTATACTGACTTAAAGAATGTAATACATTCAATGCAGTGCGTTTTTTTCCACCTATTGAGGACTGGCAAGATTTTCATTGCACATTTTAAAACCAAGGAGGTGAGTAGTATCGATGTACTTTAGATAAGAGAAAACATCCCATGTTTACAACTTTGGCAGAGGACAGGAACTTTGAGGTGAGGTGAGGAAAAGTTTTTTATGGCCAACTCAAATACATCATAGTTATTAGAAAAATCTCTGTTGACCTTGAATTCACCACTTGGATTTTGTCATGAATGCAAGTCAGATAGTCGTATTTACAATAGCTGTAAAATAATATTATGAATGAAAACAGAAAACTCAGTCAATTTTACAATGTTTTCAATGTGGTTATTTAATTATATTTTTAAAAGGCTAAAAATTATCCCTTAGATTGACTTATATTCACAACATTATGAATTATAACAGTGGGTATAATACATTATAAAATAATAAAACGTAATAAAACTATGAGAACTAAAATACGCTATGATATCTTTTTTAAAAAGACATTGTGTTACTTTTAAATATTGCATCGTTTGAAACTTGACCTTATAAATTGCTTTATAAATGTCATTATTTTTATATATACACGGATATAGGCAGATTAAAACACATTACATGTAAGGTTATAATTTGTTATAGAGATGTCTTGTTGAGGATAGAGGCTGGGGATTACGATGCATTTGAACGCAGCGTACTGCTTTTGAAGCCACCGCTCGGAGCTGATAAGTCTCAGCCAGAGCATGCGCCAGTAAACCAGCAGAAGTTGGTTAGTGAAGAATAACAAAAAATGCTTTTTGCTTAATCTTGGAAGACACTATTCCTTCCATTTATTTGTTTCTCTTTTGAAGACCGTAATAATGCAGACATGCTGTACGCAGGAGAAAGTTCCCCGCCTCTCTCCTCGCCCTTCCTGGTGGCACTTCTAACTGCCGGCTGCTTGTTCCTGCACTATCAATCAGGCCTGTTACTTTGGAGCTGATAAACACTGCGGCCTTCAAGCTGTCAGTGGAATTATTTAAGTATTCCTGCGTGCCGGCGCTGAGAGTAAACATTTTCTTTGACTGATAACACAAACACTTTGGAGATATCCACGAAAACACGGACACCGGCATCAACCAGAGAGGAACCTTTGAATGTATTAAAGCTACATGAAGAAAACAAAGATGACAACAACATTGAGAAACAGCTAAAACATCTAAATATCAGAATGTTACATATGTAACATGCATTAAAAAAAAGTACTAAGTTATGATAATACAAAATATAATAAAAAATTAAAAGTTACATAATTTTCAAAATACACATCCTGTAATAGTTCTTAGGATTTAGCAGCCAGGTATATATTACACAGTTATTAACGGCATATTATATGCATTAAACTGGGAACAAAATGCGTTTGAATCATAGTTCAAAGTAATTGTAGGAAGGACATTTTCTCCTACATACATAACCCCTTATTTATATAATACAGTATCCAGTATGCCAGCAGTAGACACAAGCTTACGAAAACCATTGACTCACCCATTTCCTCGGTCGCCCTCTGGGTCTTTTCTCCCCGGTTGCCTCGGATTTCTGTTAAGACATAGATTAGGATCAATAAATCATTCTATTGTGACATTGGAAACACCTGATCAGACATTTACTGTAGCACAGTGGTTCTCAACTGGTGGGTCGCGACCCACGGACCCATTTCGAGTGGGTCGCAGATGTGTGAGTGAAGAAATTGGGAAAAGTCAAACTTTTATTTTGAAGGCCCAATTTTCTAACGCTGTGCATGCAGTAGGCGTTGGACTGGAAGTACCGGAGATCACAAACGGTTTTGAAAACTTCTGTCACGTAGTGATCATCTTCTCAATAAAATATCTTTGCTATTGTTTTTTCGAGTCTTCTGGTCAATCAGAATCAAGATTGTTGCTGGAAGTCCCCACGGAGAATAACTTTGCGGTAGAACTATTCTTTATACATCCATGGGTACAACTTCAGATAAAAATGAACACATAATGAAATATGACCCCCGTTTTGATGATTGACAGGTCAAAGAACAATGGGGGCTATCTACCCATATCCACAATTTAAAGAAATTCACACAGACTATCTCCTCTTTGCTCTTCTCTCTGTGTGGAGCAGCAAGCTG